ACTGGGCCTGCGCGTCCGGAGCCTGTGCTCCGCGGCGGGAGAGGCCACGGCAGGGAGAGGGCCGAGGACCGCAAAAAAAAAAAAAAAAAAGGCCCTGCATGCTCTGCGCTTAATCATTTCGCAGACATCATCTCCTGCTGCTTTCCCCTCACGCTGGCTGTTCCCTCCAACGTGGATAAGCACATGGCTCGCTCCCTCACCTCCTCCTCAGAGAGCTCTCCCCCAGGAGGCCTTCTCCGCCCACCCTACTGAAAACCGCAATACCACCCCCCCTGTTTTCTTATTATGATCTTGCTTACCCCTGTCTTTTTTCCTCCATACCACTTGTCACCTATTGTAAACTCTTTCATTTCCTTGTTTGGCTCCCCCTCTAGCACGTGGGCCCCGTGAGGGCAGGATTTTCTGGTTGTCTCATTCACCACTGCGTCCCCAGTGCCTAGTGCTTGGCATGTGGCAGGTGCTCAGTGAAGGCAACCCCTCTGCTTTGAGTGCTTGTTCTGCTCTCACCTTTCAGACCTCAGCTGGGGTGTCACTTCCTCAAGGAAGCCTTCCCTGCCCCCACCCCAGTCCAACCCTGCCCTGTGCCCTCCCAATAACTCTGTGTCCCCAGCACATGGCACAGGGCCTGGAATAGAGATGATGCTCAATAAATGTTTGCAGAGGGAAGGGGTTGGTGGAGGGTCCTCACCGTAGCCTCTGGATGTTGGATGACACACCCGAGAGCCGATAGATTCCATCTACCACCCCATGGGCCTCGATAAACTCAGAGCAGCAGCGAAGCACCTGGGGCACTGGGAGAAACAGCGGGGTCAGGGCTGGGCAGGTTGCAGCCTGGATGGGAGGATCGGGCAGGGAAGGTGGGCCCAGGCCTCACCATCCTGGCCTGAGTTGCTGAGGTGCTCTCCAAGGTCACAGCCAAAGACCCTCTGCCGCAAGATGCCCCGCTGCCGCAGCCGCTGCCGGGAAGGGCGGGAGTGCATGAAGGTGCGGAGGAGGCCGGCCAGCTTCCCACGCGGCCGGGGCACAGCTGTGGGTGTAAAGGCGGGTCAAACAGGGTCAGTGCAGCCCCCAGTCTCTGATGGGGTGGGAGGCAGGGGCCTCGCCCCTCGTTTGCATTACCTGAGGTCAGAGAGGAGATACCCTGGGGAGCTGGGACACCACCCGGGGGACCGTCGGCATCTGTGGGGCGAACAAGGGGTGGAAAGGATGGAGGGCAGACAAGGGATGCAGGAGGGCCTCCCCACTTTGCCCAGGACACTTACCCCCCTTTAGTCCTGGACCCGGCCGCTCTGTGAACAGCTCCACACACTCGCTGGGGAAGAATCCGACCTGAGGAGTGTTTGGGGTCAGTGACTGGGCCATCTGAGCTGGCGCGGTGCCCCGACCCCACCCGTCCACCCCAAGCCAGGCTCACCTGGAAGCCCCGCTTGCCCCGCCACCAGCTCCGATCCTCCGTGGGCGGCATGTCGATCACTGAGACAATGTCTCCCACCTGGGAGTGGGCAGGTGTGAGGAGGGAGGGTCAGAAGGCGCAGGGGAAGTGGGGACCCAGCTGGAGCCTGCTCCTCCACAGCCTCACCTCAAAGGACAGCTCGTCTGGTGCCTGGGCTGTGTACCGCTTCACCACGTGCGCAGCGGCCACTGCAGGGATGTTGAGTGAGGCCTCCTCACTGAGAAGCAGTCGCCGGCCGTGGTTGTCCAGCTGAGATGGAAGAGAACGTGGCAGGGAGAGGCCAGAGGAAGGCGATAATAAAGACAGAGAAGGTTCCTCCATGCCCAATGGAGGCCACCACCTGTCTCCCACCCAAGAGCCCCTGTCACTCAGAGCTATTGGTCAAACACCTACATTCTTGCCCCTCCCAAAACAAAGCCCTTTCCATGTCCCAGGACTCCCCTGCCCGAAGTCTTTCTGATACACCCCTGCACCCTCATCCTCCACAGCAGACACTGCACATCTGCTATCTAAAAACCTGCTGCTTAGGGCTTCCCTGGTGGCGCAGTGGTTAAGAGTCCACCTGCCAATGCAGGGCACACGGGTTTGAGCCCTGGTCCGGGAATATTCCACATGCCACGGAGCAACCAGGCCCGTGCGCTACAGCTAGTGAGCCTGCGTTCTAGAGCCTGCGAGCCACAACTACTGAGCCTGTGAGCCACACCACTGAAGCCCGTGTGCGACAACTACTGAAGCCCGCGCTCCTAGAGCCCGCCCGTGGTCCGCAACAAGAGAAGCCACCGCAATGAGAAGCCCGTGCATCGCAACGAAGAATAGCCCCTGCTCCCTGCAACTAGAGAAAGCCCACGTGCAGCAATGAAGATCCAACTCAGCCGAAATTAAAATTAATTAATTAATTAAAAAAAAACCCAACCCTGCTGCTTTAAGCCACTCTTAGCCCGGCATTCTGTGAGCTACAGCCAAACCTATTTCTAACCAATATACCTTGAAATTCTCACATCCCTACAGCTCAACACCTGCGCGCGCATGCGCGCACACGTTTTTTTCCTCATAGGCAAGCGCCCACACAGACACTGAAATACCAGCGTCTCCTCCACTCCTACTCGTTTCTTTCCTGTGCCCACACACACCCTCCCAGGCTGGTTCTTGCTCCCCAGGCATCCCTCACTCACTCCCAGCTCCAAGCCCTCCTGCCCGGGCCCACCTCCATCCAGGTGAGCACGGGCCCACAGTTGAGGTTACTGTCCACCAGCCCTGACAAGGTCTCCAGGTACTGCAGCAGCAGCGGCACCAGCATCTGGGGGCAGGTGGTCAGAGTGGGCTATGTGAGAAGACCCCGCCCAAGACAGCCCACTGCCCTCCTATACTGCCCTAGCTCGCCTCTGGCAGAGCCGAAATTCAACTTGTACGCATGGGTGCTGCTCTGCTCGCTCTTAAGTACTGAAATGCTGTCATATCAATTGGTTAAATAGACTATGCCGAGTCCCTGTGTGCCCCCATTGGTCTGGCCATTCTGACCCTTCCATGGAACCGCCGGGAACTCCCTATGATCCTACAACTAAAGGGAGTCTCCAGAACCCTGCTGCAGTTCTAAGGCCTCTGACTGGCTGGGACTTGGGCCATACCAGTGCTTAAATATTTATCTATTCCCCTGCCTTGATGGTTTCACACATCTCTGATGAGGACACACCTTGGCTGAGGTAGGGGCAAGGACAACAAGTAGTTTACCTGGGCAGCCCTGGCACCCTCTGGGGGTGGGGGAAGCTCTGGGAGGCACGAAAACCTCCGGTCAAATATGCACCGGTGGAGGTGGGCGTCCAGGGAACGGAAGTCATCATAACTGCGGAGAACTGGCCAGGAACGGCCCTATGGGAGCGGGAAGGACAGGAGGGAGCAATGGTTCCATTACCCTGAGCTGAGGACCGTGGCAGCCAGTCCGCCAGGCTCGATGAGAGGCAGGGGTGGGTGGCCTCACCTGACAGGTCACCTGCACCCCAAACACCAGTTCATTCTCTCCAGAGAAGCTGGGACCTTCACGCTCTGGAGACAGCAGGAGCTGTAGAGGGAAACAAAGGTCCAGGTGAGGGTCTCACTTTTTTCCAGCCCTGACCTCTCCAGATCGGCATTATCTAAGGATGGGTCTGTGTCCCCCTCCTGAGCCTCCTCAAAAGCAGGGCCTGGTGATGTCTTAGTCAGAGTACAGGGTCCTGGCACAAAGCATACACCTAATAAAAAGTTGTTGCCGAATGAATAAAGGAACAAATGAATGAATGAACAACTCTCCCCTTCTGCCCTGCAGCTCCTGCCACTGAGCAGCCAGTCCCAAGGGTAGGTTTCAGGGGGTAAAGTGGCTGATACTGCTTCAGGGCTGGGTGGGATCTTGCCTACCCACCTGGTGCTGCCCCCATACCTGAATGTGGCCGAAGTCAACGTTCTCGTAGTGGAAATGGGCACAGTCAGCCAGCCGGGGAAAGGGACCTCGAGGAGCCGAGAGCCTGGGGGACAGGTGACAGGTCACTAGTGGCTCCTGCGCTTGGTTCCCCTCCTAAGTTGAGCCTCTCCCTCACCTCTCACCTCTTCCCAGGCTTGCCCTTCACACTGGGCCCCCCAGCTGGGGGCAGAGGCTGCACTGAGCCTTCCCCTGGGCCATCCAGGCTGTCAGTGCTGCGAGCCTGTAGAGCAGAAAGAAGAATCAGAGGCCCCCAGAGATGGGAGCAGAGAGACAACGGGAGCATTGTTATCTGTCAGCCTGGGCCTGCGGGCCCGAATTGCTCCATACACTGCCCTGAGCAGGGAGAAGAGGTGTAGGTCAGGGGGAGGTAAAGGCTGGGCTGAGGGTAGGTCGGGAAAGAGCATGTTGGTACCATCTCTCCCCATTTAAAACCCTCCTGTAGTCCCAGCAGAGTACAGTCATCTCCCGTATGTGCCGCTCCACGCCTTTCATAGACATCTGGACAGTCACTGCTCCCATCTTATCAGTCTTCCTGCTTCCACCTCTCCCTCCCTGCCAGCTTCTTCACAGCAAGAGCCTGTATAACTTTCACAAAACACAAATCTGCCTCTGTCTCTCCACAGGTCATGAATCTTCAATGGCTCCCTGTTGTCTTTAAGATAAAGTCTAGGGCTTCCCTGGTGGCGCAGTGGTTGAGATTCCGCCTGCCGATGCAGGGGACGCGGGTTTGTGCCCCGGTCCAGGAAGATCCCATG